AAAAAAAAAAAAAAAAAAAAAAAAAAAATCAATTTTCTTAACCAAACAAAATTAGTTTAATTAAATTTTTAATTAGGTTTCAAAGTCGGAAGGTGATGTATAAAGGCAGTTTTTGGATTGGGCGTTATATATTTTTTTAACTCTTATAAAATTATGAGGCTAAGTGAGACTATCAGCACTGAGCTTTTCTTTTATTATTGAACAATGAGTTGGTTGGATTCCATTAGAGATTTATTTCTCTCACTGTCATACTCAAGTTTTTTAAATTCAAACCAAGTGAGTTGGGTTATTATTGTAATTATTGTAATTAAATTCAAACTATATTGTAATTATTAGTCACTTCGGGCCAACATATATATTGCAACTATATGATTATATGATTTAAATTATGTAGCTTTACTTAAAAATTCAATTTCCGTACCTACAATAATCTAAATAAATAGTCATGTTATGCGACGTTGGAATAACTACCTCCATTTTACCAATTTTTGAAACTCAATCCAAAAAGTAATGTCCCATCAACAAATAATTGAAGGGCAAAATAGGACTTTAATTAAGTTATAAAAGCAAAATGCCCTAAATAAGACTAGCACAGTTCAAAGGAATCAAAAGAAAGTAACTTAACAAAAGTGTAAGGAATCTAAATAAGTTATTTCAATGTTATTTTTCATAAGAATTTAAAGAGACGTGGAAAAGAATTAGAAAAGAAAATGCAAACTTAAGGGATAGAAATGTCAATTTTCTAATTTTAAATAAATTTTCTATTTTTTAATTTTTTCTTTTTATAGGAAAGCAAAGTTTGAAATTTTTAGAAATATCATAATAATATAATAAAAAAAATAGTGGCAAATTACCAAAAATAGTCCTCAACTTTGAAGAAATTATAGAAACAAACCCTCTTCAAAATTCTAAAAGAATTTGGGTCGTTGGATCTTCATCGAGTTTTGATAGGATCTGGAAGAGGCATACCTCATCATATCAACCGTTGCAATTTAAAATCCAAGTCAATAAGCCTTTGATTAGAGAAGATCATAGTAAAGGGTGTACATTCAATCCAACAATCCAACAACCCAACCATAACTATAAGAGTTGGGTTGGGTTGGATTGGGTTGAATTTTCGATTGGTTTGGGTTCATTTTTTTTTGTACTCGAACTTACTCAGTTCAGTTTTGAGTTTATGGAACAAAACTCTCAGATTAATCTAAGTCAAATAAAAATATATAAAATATACTAAGAATTCACCATAATAATAGATTTGCCAAAATGAAACTTGGTCCATCTATCATGGATAGAGTTTATCAATAGGAGTCTTTATTTGATGTCTCTTAACTGTATTTGTTAATAGACTTCAAAAAGATAAAAGTCAATAATGTTATCACTTATGTACTTATATGTCTCATAAAGATCCTAGATAATTTAACTTTAAAACTAACTTGAAGATGGTTATGTTCATTTTGTAATCTCTATGGCATATCTTAACAAGAGTTTATGTCAAATAAGATTTGTATACCCTTTTATAGCTCCTTATAAGACTTGATAAAGCTTAATACTGTTGTAACGAAAGCAAAGCATATGGATCGCACTCACACCCCCATAAATAGAAATTAAACAAAGAGATACAGATTTATGTGATTCGTAGAGAAGAAATTCTCCTATATCCACGGACGGCAACCAATCTCAATAATCAAAGTGTTTACAAAGTGTATATTTCATACTCTCACACAACAAAGTTCCTCCAAAATGTCACAAGGTAATATAAAATGACACTAAATCTTAATGCCTCTCAACTATCTTAAACAACCCTTTATATAAATATAGAAGCATTAATGTCATATATGAGTCTTGATGATTTATGTATCAAAATGGGTGTAACGACCCTAGATTTCTAGTAACCTAAATTTGCTACCGTTATCATAATCAATGCTTTTATGCGAAATTAAAGATTTAAAACTTCATCTTAAAACATAAACTTCAATTTAAAACATTGTCATGAATTTGCGTGTTTAAAAACATATTTAAAACAAAATAAAGACACCATACACTAAGCTAAGTCTAAGAAAATAAAATGTTATTATTCTATGCACGTGGCATAGTTTCTGCTTGCTATGTTGTCGTCAGCTGCACATGAGTGCTTTGCCTTTACCTAAAATAAAAGTAGCACACAACTTAGTTTTTAAGAAATACTCAGTAAGTGACCCCACTACTGAGGTTGGGGAATGCAAACACATGCAACTCATGATCTAGGGACATATCGTTAAAACCATCATAGGAATGACTTCCAGTCCAGACAAAATTAGATGTGTAGTATTTTCCTACACATGACTGACACGTGCGAGCATAGATTCCCAAGCGATTTGCACTCTCCTGAACCCATCATAGTCGAACTAGTTGGTCGTAGCAACGTTCGGAGGCTAGTAGACCCCTGAATTTTATGTGAGGCATGATCATCATCATCATCGTAATGTACATGTCCGTACTCATCGTCATAAAAAGGGAAGTAGTCTGATGAACATATATACACAGAATGCATGAAGTGCCTATAGTTTCTCATCTTTAAAACATTTTTGTGACACAACCTGAAGTAATATGCATGCATCGGTCTTCATACATTCATCATCATTAACATTAATTAGGATTGCGTCTTAGGAAAATCGTTGTCAATGCATCATGACATTTAAAACATGTGTTTGATCTTAATATAGAATTACGTCAAATTAAGGAATCTCATAATCTTACGTCTTATATAGCATCATCATATAATATCATATAGCATCATCATATAACTCAATCACGTCATCATACATCATACTTCATACATCATCATCATATAATGACACGTGCAAGGGCCACTAGGCACATGTCGTCATACATCAAACAGTTTGTCCAACCTAATCGATTGTAAGATCACTTACTTGGTTGGCCTAGCACGCGTTTCCCTCAATTTGATATGCTTGTCTTTCGTCCCAAGAAGTGGCTCCAAGTATCGTCGGGAGTCGTTTCCTCTGAGGATGTCCATCTCTTTTCGTTAATATTTCACATTTCTCAACTTGGAAAATAGGGCATTATATTGACCTCGATTACTTCTCAACTAATTTAACTTTCAACTTGGAAAATAGAGCATTATACAAACCTCGATTACTTTCATCAAGGTTAAAATCAGCTCCAGGCGGTAAAAAACACAAGGATTGATGTAAAAAATGCCAAATTGAGCCGAGCCAAGTCGTTGGAGCCGAAGGAGCCGACATTTGCAGCAGTGACACGTTTCACCGAGGGATCCGTACACGCATTCAGGAGGTGAAGTGGGTCGAGGCGCGGGTTCGGTTTGCTGTCTCCGGGTCGAGGTTGCTGCAGGTGGGTCGAAGGCTGCTGAATTAGATTTGGGCCGCTCGTGACGATTGGACCGTAGCTTTGAGGTTGGGCTGAGTGCAGAGATGTTTGTTTGTTGGGCTGCTGGATTGGATTTGTTGTAGGTGTGCGTGGGCCGAGGTTATGTTGTGGACGAATGGGTTAGCAGGCTGCATACGTTGCTGGGCCCATTATAGTTGCAAACAAGTTGATTAGTGCAAGTATATTCGATCTGGATTCGGATCCAACCCGAAAGCCTATCTTCCTGAGGTTTTCCTACTGTCGTTCCTCAACCCAGATCCGACCTCCTCCACTTCATATCAATCTGATCTTTCCTTCCTTGCTGCGGTGGTACCAAGTACGTGCCTACAGGGATAGAGAGGAGAGGGAGGAGCATGGAGTGGGTTGGCTGAGAGAGTGAGAATTCCGGCGCCTCGCTTCAATTCTCTCGCATTTTTTAGGCAACTACGTAGAAAATGTAAATTTTTTATACGTACATTTGGAAATGACCAAAAATGGGTGATAAACTAAATGAATGGGAGATCGAACCAAATAAATTTCAATACATGCATAGGAGAGGGGAAGATACAAAAAGGAAGATTCATGAACCTATTCTTCACGATAATTTACAATAATCTCTATCTTGTCACAAGATCTTTAGTTTGGCTGCAACCGAGTTAACAAAATACTTTTTTCGTCTAACATTGATTTTATCCAAGCAATGCAAAAGCAACCGAGTTAACAAAATACTTCTTTCGTCTAACATGGATTTTATCCAAGCAATGCAAAAACTTTTAACGAGCAATCGTCTTTGCTACATATCTGCAAGATTATCAACCGTTCCAATTTTCAATAAATGAATATCTCATTCATTGATAATTTCTCAAAAAAAAAAAAAAAAAAAAAAAAAAAAAAAAAAAAAAAAAAAAAAAAAAAAAAAAAAAAAAAAAAAA